TTAAGTTTAAAAAAATTAAAAAATTACCTTTTCCTCATCTAACAAAAATCTACTAAACTTTCCTTTGTAATAATCTAACTAAACCTACCTAAATACTATTACATTTCAAACGTTTTTTTTTTCAGTAAAACTTTATGGTTTATCTGTTTTCTCTACTTTATCTCAAAACAGGATCTGTCAATTCGACCGACCTCGTAACCACCAAAAAAAAATTGAAATAAACCTAAATTACTTTTTTTTTCTATCTAGAATGACTTCAGATTGTAACAGGAAACTACATTCATTTATCCTAAGCTCTAAGTTTGTAACATTACGCATCTATTTGTAATTATATTTTATTGTCTTTTGAACTATGTTTAACTACTATCTGTGCCATTATAAGTTGTAAATCACTCAGAGAATGTGCAGGTCACATTACGCTATCGAATTACATTACCCACGAGCTACTATGAGCTGCTCGTGTGTGTACCTCCTGGAACCAATTTAATAATATTATTATTATTAATACTTATTTTACATAATCTAGTGTTAAATAACTTATAAAGATCTGTATTTTTAGATTTTAGTTATGTTTATAATAATAAATAAAGAATAAATATGGAAAACAAGAAATAAAGTACTTACTAAATCTTCTGCTTTGTTGCTGTCGATTGTTGATGACAGTTAAGCCTAATTTGTTTATGCTAATGCTAGTAATGCACTTAATAATTTTTATTTAATTAAATAATGCACCAAAGACTATAGACTAATAACATGCAAAAAGTAGACAAATTCCCTTACCTCTCAATTTTTCTGGCTTTCTAACTACATGACAAGAGTTGTTACAAATTCATCCAAGTAGTCATTAACATTCCCACAGAAACTAATCTTGTACACGAAAACCTTGACTTTCTATTGGTTATAGGTAATATATAATGAAACGTAGGAGAGAACTATCAACGAATTCTGAAAGAGAGGAAGTGACAGATGGGTATGATTTTCTATTTGATAGCTCTGTAACCAAACAGAATTGAAGGCTATAAAAATTATGGTTTGTCTGAGCAATAACGATTTTATGCAGAATAATTTACGTTTAATTTTGTACTTTTTCAAGGGGTGGTGGATAAAATAGGGATGAGGACATGCCTAAGAGAAAATGTGTCATGTGGATCACACTTGTGGAAATTCAGGATTTTTTTTAATATTGCCTTGTAGAATTAAGAACTTAAAATATGGATTATTAGCTAAGGTTTTATGCTATTCTAATTGGTATAACATAAACAAAAAGTAGTTTGATAAAATTTTGAATTTAATACACTAAAACCTTGTGTAGTGCACAGTAAAGGATACCCAGAGTGATAAGGAAAAAGTATTTTAAGAGATTTTTTTCTAAAAATAGGTTATTTTACTTGTAACTTTGGTCTAAATTTCGTATTAAATTATTTTAACGATATTTTGGAAGAAAATGAACAAACGTACTAGTGCATGACCCCATATTGACATCAACCACTTAACACTTTTTACTTTTCTTGTTGCAGCTTGTAACAACAGCACCTTTTATCAGTCCCCTACTGTTCCGAAACGTTACCTCGCTTACCTTGCTTCATTTAGTCGAATGTCAGTATTGAAACAAGTGTTTGACTTTCTCTGTACTCGGTTACGACTTAGGCAAGAAGATACCCGCTTATGGTTGTACAAAGATGATGTAAGTTATTTTTAAATATATATATGTATATGTTTTGTACTTCTGTTGAAAAACTATGAAACTTTGTTCACATCTGTGATTTCTGAAAAACAATAACAATTGTATAGTATTATAATTGTTAGAATGGAAGATGAGTGGGGTTACTTTCTAAGAATACTGTGAGTTGAAAGGCTCGAGTTGTGTTTTTTTGCATTTTCATCCTGGTTTAGAATTAATTTACAAACTTTTCTTTATAGACGAACTTCATGTTTAATTTTTATAAGTTTATACTCCGTTTTCTTTTTCTGTTAACTAACGTACTTTTCCAGATAGGTGAAGAAGAGTCTCAAGCTTCACAGCATATCAGTTACCAATTTAAAAAAGAATGTTAAGAGTGTTACTATTTTTATATTGGGGTGAAATCTTTACTTGAACAACTTTTCAGAGAAATATAAATCTTCTTTGTATTTGAGTAGGTTCAAAGAAACCAATTAAAACACAAACCAGTGACATCAAAAAAGCAGGAAGATGTAGGTAAATCATCCACTAAACTCAGTGTTAAAACTTTACAGAAACTTCCTGAATCAGTTAGCATACCCAGACTTTTGAACCCAAGGATTCAGTTTGTGATCTTTTGGTACATACTTCATATTTTGAAATCAAAGGTTCACTATAACAGTAACAGCCCAATTCTACTGTTTGATCAAATAGTAGGCAATTGGGAATTGATGATTAGCTGCCTTCCTTGTAGTTATTAGTTCAAACTTGGGGATGACCTTTTGCAGGTAGCCCTTGTGTGGCCGTACAAGTAATCGTAGCATAATACAAAAAATTATTTTATGAAGTGCTTCCTATGATAGTCTGTAGTTTAAAAATGCATTTAGTAAATAGGTAATTGGTTTATTAGTATTGTTTTAGTAGGAAATTGTTATAATTTATATTTTCAAATTAAGCTTTGGCCAGAGGTATGTTAAGGCCTTCTGGGCCCTAGGGCACTCATCTACACTGAGCTTCTCGTAATTGCCATGGTTCTCGTGGCAGTGCGGGCAAGATTAGCAGATGGTTACCCAAATGTACAATGCATTGAATTATTTTCAGTGCATTTCAAATACAGCAATAAAATAGGATACACTGACATTACAATTAGTATTCTCTTAGTATTGCT